ATGAGCTCCTTGACAGGTAACACCTTGTTCTTGATGCTGCCTACGATGTGTTTTCGATCAGCATCCCCTCGGTCACGTTCGCAGGGTCCACACTCAGCTGGAGTTCGCAGAAAACGTCGAGTAGGTCGGCATCGAAAGAGCCTCGGATCTGTTCTACCACTGCATCGTAGTCTTCACCGGTCTTTCGGCACCGGTTATGAAGCTTGGTCTCGTAGTCGCGTCGGTCCTTGGTCCACTTGACCAATGCCTCGTGAGAGATGGACTCGATCTTGGGCGGAAGCACAGGTAAAATACCGGTACCGAACCCGCTTGTGGTCTGTCTTCACCGGCGGCACGCATCATCTTGAAGTCGGCGTCCCGGGACTTGGTAGGTCATGAATGTAGCACTAACTGTTAGTCGATCTGTAGACGAACAGCGGTCGGATGACTTCAACGTCACTGCGGCGCTCGTCACAGGATTGCGCACACAATGGGAAATTCTACTAAAGAATTCTTTGTAGTATGGCCCGATAATTTGAAGCAACTTGAACACACGACAATGCGGGGGTAATAAGCACGGAATGATAGCCGAATGTATTGATGTAGTCTGCACTTGGCAAATCTAGAAGTTAGCGATACCATGGGTCTGGCGCTGACCAGCCCGTTCTCGCTCAGTCACTGCCAGCCACTCATTGCCAGAGCGACAGGCAGCACTGACTGTGAACATGCATGTATTCACTTCGCATGAAAGATGCACTTGACCATACAAGCTCCTCATACAGCGCATGAGGGCCCTGGCCGTCCAAATGACTGCGAAGTCCTCAGCTGTCTAGCGTCGGACACTCCTTGGTTGTCACCCATTGTCTGCAGCGTTGCAGCTGACAGACACATTCGGGTGAAAAGTTAAGCAGCTGAGATGAAACCAAGCTGGAAATACCAGCCAACACTACGCAAAGATACATGCGTAATCGAAAAATTGAAAGCCTTCAGAAAACGATCATGCTGATTGAACTAAGCAGCGCCTTTTGAGAACTTTCTTGTCAATAATTCAACTTCCACAGCCTCTGACCAGACGGATAGTAAGATCAAACTGCTTTGGCTAATATCCAAAGAAAAGGAGACACTCGAATCCAATGGGTTGAGAAAGAAGATCGTCCCACTTCTCAATGGATCAGCCAAAACTACCCCGATTGATAAAGATGGATACGTTTGGATTGATGGTAAGTCGCTTAGCGTATTCGGGTTGAATACTGATCGAGCGAAGCCTGCAATGAC